CCCAGCAGCACAAACCTCAAAGGCACCGAGCCCTGCAACGAGCCAGCGGGGAGAGCAAAAGCACTGCTGTTTCCGAACCTGTCATTGCAATTTCTGCTCTAGGCCGTGAACTGGGTTTTACCTTCCCACGCCGCTCGCGAGCCGAGCGCGGCCGGCCACCCCAAGCCCCCTTATACCAGCTCTGGGGACGCACGCTTAGCTGGTGACTTCTACCGGCTCAGCAGTTTGCTGCCTGTTAAAGCTGCCACGGTATCAAACATGCATGACTTGAATATATTCCCTTTCTTTTTTTGATCTAGCTGGCACCCGGAGAGAAGTATATGCAACAGCCGCAGCATAGCCGTCAGCAGAGCGTATTGCATTTTCAATCTCCTTAATTTTTAAAAAGAGTAGCTTTTTTTTTTTTTTTCCTCCAGGAATTATTTCCCAACTTTTGCCAGTCCTGCAAGGGACCATTGGCTCTGCTACGCTTAACAGCAGAGAGGAGTCTGAAGATCTGCAGCGTCTGGGGAGCATCCCACACTGCCCCCATGCAATCCTGGCCCATTTATGGCATCCTCAGGGTGAGAAATGTCCCCGTCCCCCTCTCTCCCAGCTCAGAGACGGGCCAGGGGCAACGACCAGTAAGCCAGGGCCTCTCCCCTGCAGCTGCAGCCCCAGCAGGAGCCACGCTGCATTTCTAGAAGAGCTATTGAAAAATCAAAGATAGCAAATATTGTCCAAGCAGCGGGAAAATGCTCACCGGCAGGAGACAATAACTTCATCAAGGAAGAAAATTGAGAATTGCCTTGATTACAGTGTCTTCCCAGGGAGAACAAACCAGATAGGATAAAAAGCCCTTAACTAACAGGGTCAGGTGAAACAGGAATCAGGAGTTACAAGTTGAAACCCGGCACATTGCAGCGAGCGATAAGAGCCCAGCTGCCGGCAGCAACAAGTCAAGCAACAGCTTAATAAAATCTAGGCACCAATCGTGGGGAAAGCAACAGCACGAGGAAAGCAGCATCCATATCTCAAAAGCCAGATGCTTTTTGGGAAGATGTGATGGTCGAGAAACGCCTGGCCCAGGTTGTACCCCGCCAGCAGCAGGGATCTCCAACCCACCATCAAATTTGACCAGAACTGGCCAAGAGATCCCACCACTGTTTCGAAAGTCACCGCTGGCGCCCAGATCTCCAGCCCATCTTCCCCGCTCTCTGGGTGGTCACTCATTAGCAGAGCCATGTATTTAATAATAAAAGCCTCCTATTAGATTAGCAAGAGTGACCTTTTCCAGATGGATGGGATGTTGGTACGGCGGCAGCGACAAGCGCCGAGTGTGCAGGAGGGGAATACACCAGCCGTTAACAGATTCCTCCACCCTCCAATTTCATGCTATTTTGGTGATGCAATTACAGGAGCTGAAAATCAGGTTATGGCATGAAAACAATCTTTCCCTCACCATTTGTCTCCTTGGATTTACCAGGAATGGGCCACATCCATCCGATCTCCCCATTTAACCCTGCTTGTGATACCGGGTGCCTCGTTTCAAGGGGGATGGGAGGGAGTGGGTGCCAGGGGAGAAACCAGGTCCCCCAAGGGTGCCAGGATGCTCCCTTGCAACGTCAGCATTCTGCAGGGATCGGGCTGTTTTTATTTTTCCCTTTCCTCTTCTTTTGTAACAGCCTCCTGCAGAGAGACAGAGCGAGGAGGGAACTCAGCATTTGGTCATGGTGGGATGAATAATAATAATAATAGTATTTTAAAAGGCCCAGGTTTCCAAAAATCACTCAGCACGCCACGGGGAATTGCTGTGGTTTCCTTATAGCACCCTTCCTCCTGTCTCCCTGCCGCCCTGGGCCACAGTCCTGTGGGTCTCCCCGGGGTGGCTGGTTTGAGCCCAGGTCCAAACCCTTCCAGCCACGTGGCTGCTCCCAGCCCAGCTCAGCCACTGGGAGACAGCACCGCCGGGGAAGTGGCATGGGCCAGCTCCCCCCCAGAGCACCCAAGGGTGCCCCCGGGCAGCCAGAGCAGGAAGAGGTCACCCAAGGCAAGCAGCAGTTAGGGAGGCTGCAAGGAGCTGATGGCCTGCACCCAGCTTCTGCCATACGCGCCCCAGGGACACAACGGGACCCCAGATCCCGCAGGACCAGGAAGGCTGGCAAGTTTGGCATCAAGTGGGATGAACCGGGTCAGGGTGGCTTCGTCTCCTGAGTCACCAGCTGCAGGGTCCACAGATGTCCCTGTGAGATGCATGGTCTTATAGCCAGCACATGGCGCTGGCAGCCACCGTGGCACCCACTGTCCCTGCCCCGTCGAGAGCTTCATTGCACGAGGGTGACAGAGCGGCACGGAGCTGCGCTTAGTTTTGGCAGAGCCAGACTCAGAGGGAAGCGCTGCAAACCCGCATGGAGGCGATGGCTGGGTTTGCTGACACTTACTGGACTCAAATGCCAAAGACGGTCTAGCAAAAAGCCCTCTTTGCTAAAAACGTGTCGAGTCTGAGGGGGAAAGCGGTGCAGGCGTGCACGAGGCTGCAAGACGGTCACCTGCTCCTTGGAGAAAGGAACTGACACACGCACAGATGTGCGCACACAACCACGTGCACGCACAGATGTGCATGCGCAAGAATGCAGCTCCTGCAGAGGGTATCAAGGCACCTAGCACATCTTTAAATATACAGGAGTAAAAACCGTGACACTAACGTTCACTTTTATCTTTAAAAGGACCAACTTGTTGCTAGGCTGCAAAAACGAACGCGACGGCAGGCAACCATTCAACCTCGAATTTAAACTTGCATTAGAAATTCAAGGCTCCCCGGACAAAAATTATTGCTTGGAGAATTTCTACCACACTGCCAATAACACCCCTCATGTATTTCTTTCTCTCCTGCGATGTTTTCCCGCTGGTGACAAGGGGACCGACCTTCTCCCGCCCGATTCCTCTGCCGCAGGTGAGTGGAGGAAGGCTACGCTTTGCCAAGCATGTCCAACATCACAGGGAGGACAAATTAAATGAGAAAGGGAGAAAGAAAAAGGTGGTTCCCCAATGGCATTTCCACCATGGCATCATCACATTGCAGCCCAACCATCCAGCTAGGGGTGATGTAGGAAAGAGCTGAGGGTCACACGACGGCACCCCGGAGCCAAAAGCTGGAGGCCTCCTTTGGGGAGGACAAGGACACGCAGCTGGAGGCTGGAGCGGCGGGGGGGGCACGGGGTGACCCTCTGCTCCGCTGTCCCGTCCGTCCGCTGGACCGAGCACGGCCCCAGGTCGCATGCCAGGACACCCAGACCTGCACGGCATCGCTGCCACCAGCGTGCGGACCACACGCAGCCACGAGGCACCAGTCCAGGGCAAGAACGAGACCGAATCCCATCCAACGTAGCAACCCGCTCCTGCCTCCTCTGGGATGGGACAGGGGATGCTGTTTCCTCCCTGCTCCACGCTGGAGCCAGCGGTGCCACGGCAGCTCCAGCAGCATCACGCCCAGGA